TTATTAGCTGTCAATATTCGTGGAGTAAATCCTAATAATTTACCAATTGAATCGTTTTGTTCAAAACTCACTTCAAGGCTGCTTGTTATTTCACTACGTAAAGTATTATTGTTAGGTTTGATTCTTACAATTTCAGATCCATTTTCAATAGAGTTTTGAATATATTTTTCAATATCTTCAATTTCATAACTTCCAGGGGGAATAGTAATCACTTTATCACCAATATAAAATTTATTTTTACCTTGATCAATATTAGGAATTGAATTGAAGGTTAGTAATTCAACTAAGCCAAGTACATAATTTTTATTAGATAATAATTCTATAGGAGGAAAATATTCTGCCTCCAGGACAGATGAATTGCCTGAGATAGTCATAGTAAAAGATTCTTTCATGTTGATGACTTTTTTTTTCGTACATCGTCTTTTAATACCTTGTCCTTTAACGTATGGTTTCAAATGAAGTACCAAACCTTGTCGGTATGGTTTTAAATGTAGACCTTTACCAAGTGCAACTGCTTCTAACTCTCTATTGTGACGCTGAGCTTACTTCAACTGCCCTTTTGCTGCACTTGCATCATTAACAGCTTTTGCTACACCAGCAGCTCCCCAGTAAGTGCTCCAAGTGCACTTAGCCCAGCAAAAATTGGAATTAATGGTAACAGACCACCAACTTTTGATGGCACAGGTAGAATACGAGGTGTTAAAACTTTTTCTCTACCACCTGCATTCCTTATAGCTTTTCGAGCTGTTTCAATAGCTGACTTTATTGTTGATCGAGCATCATTACCAGGAATTATTGATTTTCTTGCAGCATCCACAATTTTCCTAAGATTTACTCGTTTTTTTGATTTTGTCTTCTTCTTTACTCCTATTCCAAATTTTGATTTTGCTTTCATAGCGTTTGTTATTGCGTAAGCTGCAGCTCTTTCACTATATTGTGCGTCTGGAGCAAATACACGTTGCCACGCTTTGTCAGCTAATACTCTATCAGCAGCGTTTCTTTCTTCAACGTTTTCTCGATTTTTCGAGTAAGCAATATCGTGCTCTTTACAAGCGGTGTCTAATGGATTAACACCTGGATCACCTCGGTCTAGACGTTTTGCTAACTTTGTGCCCGGTCCACAATATTGATAACCCGGCAAATGTAATTCAAATGGCAACTTGTTTATAAGTTTATTAATTAAACCTTTTCCTCGAGAGTGATGATATATAATCATACCTTACTCTGTGAAAGTTAAAATTAGAATGACTTGTGAGCTATATAAGCGCCGTATTTATACCTTTAGCGGCAGTGTAAATCAGGATGCGGTTCAAGGAACAACTTCACAAGCTGCCAGTCGTCAATCTAGACTCGATTGTTGAACAACAAGACAAGAAAGTGAAGCGTCATGGTAGCTTGTTATCAGGTAGTATTCGAGCTATTTTTTGTGGACCATCAAATTGTGGAAAGACAAATGTACTACTTTCTTTAATTTTACATCCTAATGGTCTTAGATTTAGTAATATTTACTTGTACTCAAAGTCTCTACATCAACCCAAGTATAAATTCTTGGAACAAGTTGTAAGTAATGTTGAAGGAGTAGAGTATTTACCATTTAGTGAGCATGAAGAAGTCATTACTCCTAAAGATGCAAAACGGAATTCAATATTTATATTTGATGATATTGCTTTCGAGAAGCAAGATAATGTAAGGGCATTCTTTTGCATGGGTAGACATGTTGATGTTCATTCTTTTTATCTTTGTCAAACATATGCCCGCATTCCCAAACATTTGGTACGTGATAATGTTAATTTACTAGTTCTTTTTCGTCAAGATGAGAAAAATTTAAGGCATGTTTATGATGATCATGTTAATACTGACATGACATTTAATTAATTTCGAGAACTATGTGCCACATGTTGGAATTCAGACAAGTATGGATTTGTAGTAATTGATAAGGATTCTGATTTAAATGATGGAAGATATAGAAAAGGATTTGATAGCTTTGTAACACTATAAATATAAGATCATCCCTAAAATATTGTTAGTTCAATATGAAACCTTGTAATAATAACATGTTTCATAAAGAAAAAGAATATCTTCATCAAATTGCTAAAGCTAGTGAGGCAATTAGGCGAAAACATCGTATGTTAAAATTAGGAAAAGAAGAAGCTGAAAGTGTGTTAAATGAAACTTTCAAACCGATAATTCAACCCTTACAAAAAATTATCAACTTGACAGACACTGAATATGAAAATGTCAAGATTGAAAAGAAAGAGCAGAAGATAGATGATAGCATAAACTATGAAACTGAAAAATCTCCAGATGATGATAAAATAAGTAATAAATTTCTATACTTATTAAATCATAATAGAAAGCAATGTTTAGATTCAACATACGGCGTACGTAAGCTAAGTGATGGGTCACTTATGATTGGTGATTCACAAATAACTCTTGAAGATCAGCATGTAAAAATTGGTAATAAACGATATCTTCAAACGCTTGGATTACTTGAACTTTTATTTAAAAGTAAACCTACTACATCGCTTATAAGTGAAGATGATGAAAGAAACTATAAAGAGATTCTGATTGCTACTAATGCACACAAAAAGAAGTATAGTTCCTCTGAATCTGTACGTACAGATAAGAGTTACAAGTATTTGAATTTTATATCTCAATTCTTCCCTCGAACACCTACCAAACAACCATCTGTAAGTGTTAGTTCATTACCTAAATTTATGATTACAAACAAAAATTTTCAACGAGAATATATCTATTAGGATGATCCAAATGAGTTGGTTGACCGTCTTAGACTATTAATGGCTTCTCAAGCTGTTGGAAATCCTAGTCACAATAATGAAATCATGTCTATCATTGAGGAACTACGTGAAGCTAAAATTATATATTAAGATGTGTTTTAGCAAATATCATTCATTTCAACAATGAGCATTGACGTGTTCGGACATCCTCTCAATCAAAGAGGAACAGCAAGACGAGGGCCTCCTGAAGTTGGTTTTAAACTTAATTCTCAATGTAACTTTGACGTTGAAGGAAGAAAACTCTCTAATCTTGCTAACGCTGAAGAAGAAAACGACGCTGTCAATTTAAAACTTGTACGACATATGATAAAACACGAAGTGCGTTTATTGTATGAAGCTAGTGCCTCACTGAGATCAGAAGTCGACAATAACAACTTATTTCTAAAAGTTCTTGAAGACTCTATTACAGAAAAAATAAAAAATTTTGAAAAAGATATAAATCAAGACTTATCTTATCGAACAGCTAAAATTATTAGTGAATTGGATACTCGCTTAAGTGCTCTCGAGAATGAACAACAAAAAATTAACGGTAGTGAATGAACTTCATACCCAGGCTAGAAAAAATTATCCTCGACGGCGAGTTGAAATGCGTGATATTGATGAGACATGGCAAGCAGATTTAGTAGAAATGATACCTTATTCAAAAATAAATAAAGGTTTCAAGTATTTACTAATAGTTATAGACATATTTTCGAAATATGCTTGGGCTGTTCCAGTAAAAAGTAAAAATGGAAAAGATGTTTCTCATGCAATGCAATCTATATTTGCTAAAAAACGTATACCAAAAAACTTGCATAGTGACAAAGGAAAAGAATTCTATAACTCACAATTTGAAGCATTAATGAAAAAGCATACAATAAATTTTTATTCAACATACAGTAATATGAAAGCTTCCATTGTTGAACGGTTTAATCGAACACTAAAAAGAAAAATGTGGATGCAATTTAGTTTACAAGGAAATTACAAGTGGTATGATATATTGCCTACTCTTATTTCCAACTATAATAATGATACAAAACATAGAACAATTGGAATGAAGCCTAAAGATGTTACTTCAGAAGACGTTGAAATTTTAAAAGAAAGGATCTCTAAACTGAGAAAAATTCCTTTAAGACGATCAAAGTATAAAATTGGTGACAAAGTTCGAGTAAGCAAATATAAAAACGTTTTCGAGAAAGGATATACACCCAATAGAACAACAGAAATATTCACCTTGGATCAAGTTATATCAACTCAATCAGTGACTTACAAGCTCAAGGATTACCAGGATCAACCCATCAGCGGAGGATTTTATGAAGAGGAACTTCTTAAAGTAAAATATTCAGATATTTATCTTGTGGAAAAAATTCTCAAAACACGTGGAAACAAAGTTCTTGTCAAATGGTTTGGCTTTGATAATTCTCACAATACGTGGGAAGATAAAGCAAATGTATAATCTATTATTCGCAAATCGTCCCCAGCAACTTAACGCAAATGTCAATCAACCAGCAAACCAATCAAAGATTAATGTTAGTGTAGAACCTCTCTATAAATCAAAACTACTTCCAACAACAGACCTTTACAGTGCCAGTGCCAAAAATTAACAATAAATCAATAATGAATCAATAATGAATCAATAATGAATCAACAATGAATCAATAATGAATCAATAATGAATCAATAATGAATCAACAATGAATCAACAATGAATCAATAATGAATCAATAATGAATCAGTAATAAATCAACAATGAATCAACAATGAATCAATAATAAATCAATAATGAATCAACAATGAATCAACAATGAATCAATAATGAACCAATAATGAATCAACTATGAATCAACTATGAATCAATAATGAATCAATAATGAATCAACAATGAATCAATAATGAATCAACAATGAATCAATAATGAATCAATAATAAATCAACAATGAATCAACAATGAATCAATAATGAATCAATAATGAATCAACAATGAATCAATAAAGAATCAACAATGAATAAATAATGAATCAATAATGAATCATTTATGAATCAACAATGAATCAACAATGAATCAATAATGAATCAATAATGAATCAATAATGAATCAATATTAAATCAATATTAAATCAATAATGAATCAATAATGAATCAATATTAAATCAGTTGGCACTGGCATTGTGAAGGTCTGTTGTTGGAAGTAGTTTTGATTTATAAAGAGATTCTACGCTAACATTAATCTTTGATTGCATAGCGGCCAAACCATTGGGTGACAAGCTTAATGTCGACATGTTTACGGACATTTTCCATTGTTTTACCGTACACAGCGTTGTTCATGAGCTTGAACAAATTTTTCTCGAACTCATTTTTGGCGTTGGTTCGCATCATCGTATTATAGTCGATGTATGGTTTAAGCAATGTTGATTGCTTAAACTGTAAGACTCGGTGAATTTTTACAAGCTTAATGCCGTTGGCGACAACTTGTTTTAAAGTGTGGTAGTGGATCACATATTTTTCTTTTGGTTGGAGAGTTGTTAATAATTTCTCCTGTTTCGAGAGGGGTGGTTTCGCATTTTCTGCGCAAAATGGCATGTCTTTGTGAGTATCGTGGAGATTTTCAGGATACTTCAAATCAACTTCGAGTATGTATCCAACAGGTAAATCGTCGGATACATTAAAATTGAAAGAGTTGTCGACATTTTCAACCCATTTAAAGCCGCCATAAGGGAGCGCTTGAGCCATTGCCCAGCCATATAAATTGTTGGCGTCAAAGTACATGATGTAGCTAGTATCTTTGCTATCATCGAAATTTTCCATATATCTATTATTCGCTATAGTATATCGGTTGCAGCATTGACTTACGCCACCTCTAATACCAGACTCAACAAACATAATCATATCGATATCGGTTATTAGTTGCAATCCTATGCTCGTGTACTTGAGCATAGCATCCCAAGTTAAACCAGGGGTCGTATAATAGTGAGGAGGATCTAACCCGTACGCTTTAACACATTCTTTTCGAAAATTTTCAAAGACATCCGCAAGTAACAATACATCTGTTTTCATATACAATTGTACATAGTCGTAGAGATTCTGACAGTTAAACTCAGTCCATACATTCTGCGCATGCGCATACTCATCATCAGAAATACCAGCGTCATACAGAGTACTATAAAATTTCTCTATCGGGGGTAATTCGGTTTCATCAAGCTTACTTTTCGAGTCAAAGTACTCATAGGGGAATACACCTTTACGCGTCAATAATTTGATTTTATCCGGATCTGTCACCGTACTGGCAAAAACGGAGTTTACAATTTTATACTCGTCTAAGTAGGATGCGAGTTTTTCCAGGGATGCTGCCATGAATCGCAATGAGTCAATGAATCTAAATTTGACCTCACTCCCCTTGACATGTTTAGTAAAAGAGATATACTTCTCTTTGTTAATGGGGAGGAGGTCAATTTTTCCTTCAAAGCTCGTCGAGATCGCGTGAATTATAAAATGGGCGTCGTAACCGCTTAAATTGTGGAAGACTACGGGGATCGTTTGACAATCTTGATAGTTTAAATTGCATGATTCATGGGCAGCACCCCTATATTTGCCAGTAAGGTGACAGTGATCGCGGACTTTCTTCTCACTTGCCGGTATTTTCTCATTACAAATGTGACATATTGTCGCTCGCTTGAAGTCACTGATTTCATGAGGAGTTAAGGCATTCATTGGTATCAGATTTTTAAATACATTATCAATTTTTTCAGATAATTGCCTTAATTCCTCAGTAAACCATTTAGCAGGGTTAGATTCATTTTTCGGACACGGCACATATTTACATAATGTTTCGTCGTAGCTACATTTTATATAATATCCGATGCTTAACAATTTGTGACGCTGGAAGACTTCAGTCTTACTTAAATTGTCTACATCTTTATCCGCTGGAAGAAGTAGACTTTCACAGTCGGCGTAAATTACATATGGCACCTTTTCTTTATTCTTATAATTTTTAAATGTAATTAGACTCTTGTCAGGTTTTGGTAACGTTACTTTACACTCATTCATTTTTTTACAATTTTCAAGGTGAGCATTCAGTCTATCTGTAGATGAAAAATAATGTAAGCATCGATCACAGATATGTTTTTTACCATTTGTAGCAGACAATTGTGTAGACACTAGTCGCGATAAATCTTTAATCCACACATAATGGAAGTTCATAAAACCATCATCATTATACAATACATTATTATCAATACCCTCATCTGCATACATGTCAGCAACATATAAGAGATTTACATGTTTATCTCTTTTCTCTGTAGTAAGGTGAAGAGGGTGCGTTGAGAAGTTTCCATAATATTTTGATAAACCATAGACATTAATCGAAATATTATTTAACTTTTCAAATTTTGAGACATTTTTTAACGTTACTGGAAAGTCTATACCTTCAAAATTCAACTCATTTTCAAATTCTTTATAGTTGGAAACACGATCACTTCTCACGACATTTGGATGTAAGGCTGACAGTACCGCCCACTTAAAGCACTCGTTATCTTTGTTTTGCACGTTAATACAGGCTTTCTTTCTTTTAATTTGTGAAGGTAGATTAATGTATGAGCTCGAACGCATTTGATTGTATTTATTTACATTCACTTCAAGTCTTATAATAGACTGAAGATTCCAATTTGAACCCTTTGCGTGAAACTCTTCTACACTGCGCAAGATTGGCTGCTAGATGTTCTCATCAAACCAATCATCTAAAAGGGTTGTGGGGAAGATGCTGTTAGCCTTAGTTCCAAACGGAATTGGCTTAACTACTTCTTCCTCATTCTCAACCCTTTTAAAGTTGGCAATGAGAACACCATACACCAAAATAGGACCATATTTGTTTATAGCATCTCTAATGCGGTCCTGAAAAAGTCTAGACGCATCGTCTAAAAACGCGCTTATATCAATGTGTACAAGATTTAGAATCACATTAGTGTACAGTCTACACGCAAACGCACTCTCACATTCTTCCCAGCGCACACGTTTATTTATATCTGGATCACCGATTCCAGCGCCATCTACATTATGGGACTCAAACAATGCGCGAAGTCTAATGATGGATTGTAGAATGCTCACACATCTTTTCTTTTGATGTGTAAAGTACATCGACTTGAGAATGCTCGATAACAAGTTTTCATGTTGTGAGCATTCTACAACCCATTGTTCAATGAAAGAGCATCTCTCATTTACGTTACTCAAATAAGGTATCAACTCAAGGACTTCTTTAATGAGAGTAACAGTAATGTCACTCTCGTCGAGAATAGTACCGCAATTCGGATACTTACGTGGTGGTCCATCGGTGGTCGTCGCCTTCCGCTTCATCTCTACACCTGAAATCAAAAGAAACACACTTACAAGCTAACACACTTACAAACTAAACAGAACACACTTACAAGCTAAAGAAGAACACACTTACAAACTAAAATACTTATACTAAACAAAACGAACTTACAAACTAAAGAACTTAACCTAAAAATGAATACAAAGTAAATGCAATAAACACAGTAAATATAACAATAAATGTAACAAAAAAGACAGTAAATATAACAAAAAAAGACAGTAAATATAACAGAAAAGACAGTTAGTAGTGCTAATGGGAATCTGCTGCTGCTGCTACTGTTGGAACCGCTGAACCTGTGAACAGAACAGCTACTGACTAAACTCGCCAAAATCCCTGAATATATACCCCGAAATCCCCACTACTACCTTTCACACATGCGCACTAGACCATTTACCCCCACTTCAACCTATCACGCATGCGCATTATACTCACATTACCCCAAGTCAGACTCATTATTCCCACTTTTTTTTACTATTGCGCAGAAAGTATATACATTTTATATGAAAACTTCTTTATTAAAAATTATTAATAGTGATATTAACAGTTAGTCGCCTCTGGCGACGACGACGACGGTGTTGCATGCGCTGATCGTTGACCGCTTGGGGATTTACCACTGGCAGCCTTGGTTCTACTGGCGCCCTCTCTTCGAGTCGTGGTACTGGTGAAGGTGACCTTGACCGTGGTAGAACCCCAGCTCCACAAAAGATGGCGTCTCTAACCTGTACCATTGGTACGTGGGTGGTGACGCAGGGGGTGGTGTTGGAGGTAGCGGCACCTCATTGTCTGGATTCTATAACTAAAAACAAAATATACTATACTATATCATATTAAATTATATTATATTACTTACGTTATACTCGGACACCATCCTCACGACGCAGTGGTAGCACCGGCAGCTCGGTTCCATTGCAGCTTGCTCACTCCGCTGCTATGAGCTGAATGAGCTCTCTACTGTGTGCTAGTCACCCTCGTAGGTCTCCCTCCCCACCAAGCGGTTCCCCCACTACGCGCGCTCACCACTCTGCTGCGTGTGGCGGTTGACTTGAACTACTGTCAGCTCACCGCCGGCAACGAGCTCACCGCCGGTAACGCGCGAAAATCAATTTGAATTCAAAACGCTTATTGTAGTTTTAAGTAATAATTTCTCTTGCCTTAATTATAAATTGTCTATAATTAATAAACTAATGATAATAGTAACAATTAATAAACAAAAAAAATTAACTACACTTACCTTAATTAAATAAATAGTTTTTGAATAAATATTAATAATAAACAAATATTTACAATTAATATTTTTTGAGCAATAATTTTTTTGTATAATAAACAAATATTTACAATTAATATTTTTTAATATTTTTTATATATATAATAAACAAATGTTTACAATTAATATTTTTTAAACAATAATTTTTTCACTAATATTAAAAATTTAGTGGCGCCATCTATCGGCGGCAGCCGGAACTAAAAAAAAATCTGTCGGTAAAACAGAGAACCCTTTCTAAGCCACTTGAAAGTTTGAAAATAAAATTTTAAATTTCCCGCCCAGCAGGTTTGGAATTCGCAAGTGGCGCCATCTAGCGGTGGCAGCCGGAACTAACTAGGTCGGTAATGCAGAACACCCCTTGTAATATATTATATTCTATAATATATTATAGAAAAATTTGACAAGATGAACAATTTATAATATTTATTTGATTTCCTGAAAATTATTTCAAGATGTCTAAGAAACTTTATGTTGCGTATGATAAAACGTTTGAAATGTATTAAAAAAATTATAGATTATAAATATTCTCATATAATAGAAAAAATGTTTTTAATTGTCGTAAAATTATTATTATATTTTTTGAAACTATCAATATACAGAAGTAAAATTATTTTAATACTTATAAGAAAGATGAGTTCAGATGTGTATTCCAGACAAGTTTAAAAAATTACTATACTGTATGAAATATTTTGAAGAATCGCGCACGCGTCAGTTGCGCAGTAGTCTGCTGCGCATACATTTTCACAGTGAGAATGTCTTCTAGTATCGAAGGACCACCTGCAGCGTGCGTTGCGTAGCTAGTTGGTTAGGGTTGCGTTCTATTAATATTAGGGTTGTGCGTTCGATTCCAGTCGTTAGTAGATTTTCTGTTAGGTAGGCTATCATTAAGTATAAATAAATGTTCAGAGTTTATAGTATATGAATTCTGGGTGCAATATCAAGATACGTGGTGCTTTAAAAAAATTTAAAAACTAAAAGGTAAACTATATAAATTTTTTTTTTAAAATAAATTTTCTGTATGATAAGTTATTATACATTTCATTGTCAGGTTTTACATTTATATACAGTATAGTAATTTACTTTATATTGAGTCAACATATTTACTATACTGTATTAAGAATCTTTCAATGAATGTAAGGATTAAATATTTCATAGAAAGGCTTTGTATTTTAAAACAGTATTGTAATTTATTTCATATTGATCCAAATTTTATTCATATTTGTCTTTATTTTCTTTAACCTGTATTGTAATTGTTATGAATATTAATTAGAGATACAGTATTGAAACATTTTTAAAAAGTGACTCTTGTCCAACTTTTTAATACAAACATTAAAATATTCTTTAGACTTTTTCTTTCCGTGTAACTCTCAAATATGAACGATTTGTCCCTCCAGATGTTTAGTCCAATACTCCAGTTTTCTCAGTGTGATTATTACGATTTAATGATTCCCATATTTTTTACTACTCTATAAAATTGTTCCACGGAAGTGAAATAACTCAAAACACAAAAAACCGAAAGTATTCAGATTTAACAGGAAAAACTTATGTTATTGGTGAAACTTAGTAAATCTGTTTCTATTTACCCCAACTGACCCTAATTGAATTTTTCTTAAAATTCAATTCTCATAAAGAATTTTATCAACAAATTTTTAATCAATTGAATTCTTTTGACAAATTTTAAGAAAAATTTCATTTTTCCAGGAATTTGATCCCAGGTTAAAATCCCTGTACAGGATCCTTAAAGGATCCTCCCGGGATCGTGTGCAGGTCCTGTGCAGGATCCCGACCGGAACCCGTACACGTCCTGTACAGGATCCCGACCGGATCCCGTGCAGGAAATTGGAACAGGGTTCCTGTGCAGGTTCCGATGCAGGAACCTTAGCTATCAAAGGTTCCTGTAAAGGTTCCTGTACAGGAACACTTGCATGATCATGTACAGGAAACTTTTTAATTTTTCTAATTTTTATATGTTAAGCAACATTTGACATACATAGACTTCATATTTCAATATGTTAGGCTCGTATAACAATGTTGGACAGAAAAATGTATTGCGCATTCGAGAAACTCATAGAAAACTACTGCGCAGGAGTTAAAAATATAAATAAATTAATTGAGGAAACTGTGTAGGATCCTTTACGGGTTCCTTACAGGATCCTTTATACTTAAGTACCTGCAGTTTACAAAACTGTAAAGGTTCCTGCACAGGAACCTTTACAAAGTTTCCTGTACATGATCCTGCAAGTGTTCCTGTACAGGAACCTTTACAGAAACCTTTGATAGCTAGGGTTCCTGCATCGGAACCTGCATAGGAACCTTGTCCTAATTTACTGCACGGGATCCGGTCGGGATCCTGTACAGGACGGGTACGGGATCCGGTCGGGATCCTGCACAGGACCTGCACAGGATCCCGAGAGAATCCTTTAAGGATCCTGTACGGGGATTTTAACCTGGGATTAAAATTGTATATTAAAAATAATTTATATTTGCAATGAGTTTTATTATTTATGAAAATAATTGAATTCCTAAAAAGAATTTTATTATTTACGAAAATAATTGCATCCCTGTAAAAATTTTATTATTTATGAAAATAATTCAATTATACTAAAGAAATTTATAGAAAATTTGTAAACAATTGAATTCCTGTGATATTTTTATTATTTTATGAAAATAATTATTAAATGTTTGCTAAGAATTTTATTAAAATGTTTGAAAATAATTGAATATCAGAGAAGAATTGTATTATTTCTGAAGATAATTGAAACTTTCAGGAGAGTTTTTTTTAAGGGGTTACATGGGTCAAAACGACCTGAAAACGTATGTTTTTTTAATAATTTTTTTTTCATAAAATAAATAAAATTTTTTATTTTAACACTTTGGTATCTGAAAGTACACTATTAAATGAGAAAGATATTAAATTTTTGATAAAAAATATTAAAAATCAGGCCCGTAGCAACAGTTCTTTGGGCCCCTTTAAAA